TCTCTTTCTCAAACCGACCAATTGTCTCTCTGTCTTTCTCTCTCTCTCTCTCTCTCTCTCTCTCTCTCTCTCTCTCTCTCTCTCTCTCTCTTTTCATCGTTATTGCTCACTTCAAAAAGAATAGTGGACAAGATATTGTCCTATTTGGCACACGTTAGCTTTTTTTTTCTCTTTACATGTGGTAGTTGTGCTTTTTCCTTTGTGTCTTTCTCTCTCAAACCGACCAAACCAATTCTTTCTCTGTCTCGGTCTCGGTCGAGCTTGTCTTGTGGTAGGTGTAGTTTGTGGGCGGGGGGTTGGCTGGTGGGGGTGAGAGAGCAGGTGGGGAGATGGTCTGGAGTAGGTATGGAGGCATGAAAGGGCCAGCCGGATTTGGTGTGACCAGGTTGGCGGAATGGGTATGCGCAGACTTGGCCGACTCAAAGTGTGCCTGCGTTTGACTGACGCAGGGAGCCAACGACAGACAGACAAGGACAAGATGGCGGCGGTCCGGTGGTTGGGGCGTATGACATGGGCCGGTCTTGGAGCGGGCGTGGTCTACCATCTGACGGCACAGCCCGCACAGGCTGCAAGCCTGCCTCCCTCAGGTTGGCCCTGTCGACCCAGGCATTGGCGTTGAGCCCCACCTACCGTAGGCCTCTACTAGGCTAGGCGCTGACTTCGTGCCGTCTTTTCATGTGGCTAGGCGGCGTGGAGTCGGCATCCTCGATCATGCGCTTCGGTTACCCAGAAAGCCGCCCGTTGAAGCTGCGCGATGGACACGTCGTGCATTATGATAACCGACTACGCGTCCCCGTGTGGGTTTGCGAGCATGTGAATCGGGACACCATCTCCGTCCCAAAGGGGTGAGCTCAGTGGCCGGCTGGCTGGGTTTGGTGGGAGATGTGGGAAGGAACAGCCACCCTCTCTTCTGTCTGTGTGCGACCGCGTCGAGCGTCTGATCCAAACATGTGTGGTCCACTTATCCCGCTCGCTCCCCCGGCGGGCCTCTCGTCGCCTCGCAGCGAGGCCAAGGTCAACCGAGCCGACTGTGTATTTACGGAAGACCAGACCATTCATCCCTACTTTCGCAGCACGGACGTGGACTACAAGCGCAGCGGCTACGATCGAGGCCACTTGGCAGCGGCGGCCAACCACCGCCAGCACCTGGAAGCCATGAAGTCCACCTTCTTTTACAGTAACATTGCCCCGCAGGTCGGCAAGGGGATGAATCGTGGCGCATGGAACAACCTTGAGATCTATACACGGCGCCTGGCTCGAGACAACGAGGTCTACGTCATCTCTGGCTCGCTCTTCGTGCCACAGAACGGGCAGGTGACCTACAAGGTCATTGGACCCAACAATGTGGCCGTCCCGACCCATTTTTTTAAAGTGCTCCTCATTGCTGCCCGCAACGACGAGGAGCGTACGGCTCGCCTCCAGTGCTTTATCATGCCCAACCAAGAGATCCCCACGGGCCAGAATCTTGCACAGTTCCTCGTGCCTCTTGAGCAAGTCGAGAAGCTTAGCGGTGCGTTTCGGCCCTCCTGTTGGATCCGCTCTGCTTGATCTTTGAGGGCCAGGGTCCCGCTGACGTCGTGCTCAATGGGATGCTGCTTCTCGCCGGCCCCGACCTGTGTTTGCTCCGTGATAGGTTTTACCTTCTTTGACAAACTGCCCAACAAATACGGTCGCGTGCAGCGCACGGCCAAGGGCCAACTCGCGGGTGACTTTGCAAAGGAGGACACCTCCTAAGGATTAACTCGGCCCGTTGGTCGACTAGCATAACCGCCCCATGCTCCAATGTGCCCGTGTGGCGTACGCGACGGTGTCTCTGGTATGGAAACCTGATTTGTATTTAAATCCCAGTCCAGTCAGAGAGTTGATTCGTGCCAAGTGCGCCAACGAGCGCGAGGCAATTGAAACTCATAATATGCACGCGAGTGAAATGCACAATACTCAGCCGTGTTCACAACGCTATTACACATTCACCAAATTAAGTGGAGGGAAAGGTCATCACCAAGACGAACAGGACCCGTCACAGCCACACGGAGCGACAAACGTCGGGCACATGACTCGACAAGGGAGTCAGAAGATGCACAGCGAGGAAAAAAAAAATCAAGAAAAACCAGCCAAAAATTGCCTGAAAATGATCAGTCTTCTTTTTCATCAACATCAAAAGGATGAAAAGGCAAAAAGATCTTCTTTTTCATCAACATCAAAAGGATCAAAAAGAATTGGGCGAGGTCCCACGGAGATTCGAACTCCGGATATGAGAATCAGAATCTCATGTGCTAACCCCTACACTATGGAACCCGATTAGTTGACATGGTGAGTCATAAAACTAAATATAAATATCATCAAATATATTCAACACACGCACCCCCTTGCGGTTTGTTCCAAAAATAGGCGACCTGGGTGTTACAAGCAACAAACCGTTGGGAACGGTCGTTTGCTTCAAGCGCAGCAGCACTGGAAGACGGGCGGAGTCGTATTTTTTTTTTCCAAGACCCGTTCTTGGTGAGCACGAGCAGGCATGGCTACGCTCAACGAGTGTGAAGAGGCGCTGCGCGCACACCTGGAGCAGTTTGAGGATGTCTCAGCCGCGACCGTGCAGACCCCGAATCGTGAGCTGGCTCGATTATGCGCCCGCGCCGCCGCGGCGAGTCTGGACCAACCCCACGCGCGCGATGGTCATAGTCTAGCCGCCATTGCTTGGGCGGGCGCCGTCGAGTTTTTTGGGGAGCCGGCCACGGGGCAGCTGCTCAAGGCCAAGGCGTACGGTCGGCTTCGGCGCCATCGGGCCGCTCGTGACCTGTACCGGGATGTGGCAGACGCAGTACAGGTGGCACAGCACGTCACCGCTACGAGTGCCACGGATCTTTTTGACGAACGCGAGCAAAACACGGGGCTCACGCAACCCCAGGAGCTTGTGCTCGGCACCCCCGAACGCGCCCAGGATCGGCGCAGCTTTGCGCACCGGCAGGCAGCCGCTCACGATCGCAGTCTGCAGGAGAGTGTCACGGCCGCTACGAATCGACAGGACAACTTCAATGCCATCTACACGCATCTGGATGAGAGCCCTGTCAAACACATCCGCCTGTTTGGAGCCAAGAGCGTGGCCAACCTTCCAGACCAGGGGCAGTGTACACTGGCCACCCTCGCCTCGAGTCCGACCACACCACTGACGGCTGCCCGTCAGCGCATCGTGCAGTCTCTCTGGACAGCGGTCCAGCCCGCCTCCGAGGCCGCCACGGCCGAGGACGTGGAGCAACTCTTGAGTCCGTTCAAGACGGCCACGCAAATCACGAATAGCACCCACCTCAGCCTCGTGAGCTGGAACGTCAAGCTGGCCAACCTCACTGATCAGCGCGCAGATTCGTTGCGCACGAGCATCGACAGCAAGGCTGCAGTGGCTGCCAAGCTGGTGGCCGATGTTGGGGCAGATGTCCTGGTGCTGCAGGAGTGCCCTGGTCGGTATTATCAGCAGAGGCAGGCAAGTCGGCTCCACCGCGAGGCCTACAAGCATGACTGGATGGGCGGGGCGGTCATCCGCGCTCTGCACAACCAAGACGGCTTTCCTCTTCCACGCCACTACGATGTTGCTTCGATCGACGTGCACAAGCTGCTCCAGGATGGCGCAACCATACAGGACCTGGGCGAGCGGCACTTGTTTGCGTGGAACACGGCACGCTTTCGCCTGTTGGAGGACGGTCCCGCCCTCCTGGGGGACAGCAGCCTGGTGGACGAGTCGAGCGCCAACACAAGTCCCGAGCCGGATCAAGGGCGGCGGCAGGCAGCGTCAGGTCAAGTGACACCTGTCCTCAAAGACGAGCCCACCGAAGAGGACTACAAACCCGCAGAGTTGGGCGAACGAGGCTCAGTCTCGGACGTAGTAGGTTCGAAGCCGGTCTTGGATTCGGCCTTTTATCGGCCACCTAGTTATGTGGTCCTGGAGGAGCATCGTAAGCCGAGCGCCGACGGAACAGAGGGCCCTGGGTTGGTGTTGGTCGTTGTCTCCTGCCACCTCAAGGCTGGTGGAGGCGAGTTGACCATGGATGAGACGAGGCGCACGGCTCGACAATGCCAAACGCTTTTCCAGCGTCTGAGCCTGGCACACCCTGATCGAGCTTTGGCGGTCGTGACTTGTGGTGATTTTAATCTCGATCCCAAGCAGGTGGCTCTGATCTTTCAGGAGGAGCAGGGCATTTTGGCCAGTAAGATTGAGTTTCTGTCTCTCTCCGATGATCAAGTTAGCCTGCCTCCTCCAACCAATCAATGGCAATTCTGTGCACACGGCCGGGTGGAGGACGGGTCTGCCTACGACGGGGCCTTGCTCGCCACCACGGAGCATGCCCAGGTGCCCGCCTCAGCGTGCCGGCCCGTAGCCTTGACCGAGTTTGTGGGCCCTGTGGCAGAGGAGATGCAGCGGGTAGGACAAGCCGTGGCCAAAGCTGTGGCCCAAATACTGGATGGTTCTGCCGTCACAGCAATCTCCCGCCAAGCGCTGGCTGCCTTCTTGCCCAGTGCAGCAGCTGTGGATGGGGTACCCTCGGTGGTTCGCCAAGCATACCAAAAGGAGGTGGGACGCAATTTTTCCGACCATCAGCCTCTGCTGGTCAAGCTGCGCTTAGACCATGAGCTGAAGGAGTCAGATCCAAACGTGAGCTTCTAAAGCAACCTTTGCCTGTCTTTTTTTTTCAAGCTGCTCTTCAAGGGCTGCGAGGCCTGTTGATGGGGTTTGAGTTGTTGAGGCTAAAATGGAAAATTGACATGATTTTTGACTTGAATTTTTGTTTCTGATTACAAGCAAGTTTTGGTCCAAGAGGGTCGGGGAACCTGGGGCACGAGAAAAGCATGCAAGCGCGCGTCGATGCTTACACCAGAGCTGATAGGGACGCAAAGCAGTTGTGTGGTATATTAATACAATATTGGGAATCGCATGACTGTCCACAATATCACGTGGTCTATTTCCATTGGTCAGGGGGTGGGGCGGGGCGGCTCAAAGTTCAATGTCTCGATCTTGATCAGAGTCGGGCTCCATCAGGGGCACGGCAAGGCGGCCTTGGCGTTGACGACGCTGGTGCCATACGTAGGCCACAATAGTAGACATGGCGATAAAAACAGCGAAAAACACGGCCAAGATGATGCCGGTGTGCCGATGTTTGTTGCTCTTGTGACTCCCCTGTGCGCTTGTGGGCACCGGCGTCGTTGTTGTCGTTGTTGTTGTCGTTGATGACGTTGTTGTGGTAGCGTTTATGTCTGTTGTCGTGGTGGCATTGATTGAAGCAGACATCGTGGCTGTGGTGGTGGCATTGATAGCAGCAGACGTCGTGGCTGTGGTGGTGGCATTGATAGAAGCAGACGTCGTGGCTGTCGTGTTGGCATTGACTGTCGTTGCTGCTGTTGTAGCGGAAGGCGTCGTGGTGGTGGCATTGGCTGAAGTGGCCGTCGCTCTTGTGGTAGTGTTCATGTTTGAGGTTGTGGTGGCATTGGTAGGAGCAGACGTCGTTGTTGGGACAGACGTCGTTGTAGTGGAAGGCGTCGTTGTTGAAGCGGACGCCATTGTTGTTGTAGATGAATTGCTTGGAGCAGACGTCGTTGTAGTGGAGGGCGGCGTTTTTGAAGTGGGCGCCATTGCTGTTGTAGAGGAAGCGCTTGGAGCAGACGTCGTTGTAGTGGAGGGGGTCGTTGTTGAAGCGGGTGTCATTGCTGTTGTGGTAGACATTGTTGAGGTAGTGGCTTCGGTAGCTTTCGTCGGAACCGGCGGCCCATTCTGGGCGTGCGCCAGCGACAGCGCGAGCACAACCACCAGCACCGCTGGTTTCATCAGCAACATCATTCTCCAAGTTTCACCAAACCTACAAGCAGAGAAAGATCAAATCTCGGGGCCCAAGGGGTCCGGTTCAGCCAGCGTCGGGGATAGGAATGGGCTCAGGGGTTGACGGGGTCGACGCCACCGCTTGGATCAAGTCCCACAGCAAAGCCGCCGAGGTCTGCTCGCGTTGGCCACCCAGTCCCTCAATCTCTCAATCTCCGCCAAGACCAAACTATCAGCCAGCCAAACTTTTCTGACAAAAACGCCCTACGTTTGGTCCGGACTAAAGTCGTCGTGGTACCGCAATCGCATTGCAACGTGTTGACAGTCAGAGAGAGACACACACATGTCCGTCAAAGGACACATGGAGGCTCTGGCTCTTTCCACCGCTTCGATGTGAACGCTATCTCTGTTTAGTATGACAAGCTGGGCAATGGTCTCTGAGGTAGATCCTGGTTTCATCTCCATCTCTCCTTTCACCTACATTTTTATCTTCATGGCGACAACGTTGATCATCCACGTCTCTGACATTGTGCCCTTGAGTTGTGAACCTCTAGCAAATTCCTCCTCGCAGGGTGCTTTCTCTGCATTTCCTGCGCTTTCGGCGCCACCTTCTCGCCGCTGGTGAGTCAGCCGCTCGCTCAGCTACCTCGGCTCGCCCATGGTCTGCGTGCTGGGGTTTCAACAAAAGGCGGCATCTGTTGTTTGCCTGATCATGCAAGCGTTGCATATTTTGGTCAGCGCTTCATCGCCACTGTGCTCAACCCGGAATACTGCTGCTGCTGCTGCTGCTGCTGCTGCCCTTGTGTTGATGTAGACCTGCTGTGAACGCATATACCGACACAATGGCAGCGAGTCACTGCGCCCGCGTTCTACGGGCTGGCGCAAATCCTCAAAATCTTTTGGCAAGAACATTCTCGTCCATCGCTCCTACCTGGCAGCGCCATCCCCTGGTGGGTGAGGGTACGCCTGGCTCCAGTTCAGGCACCGCCGGCGACGCTTCAGCTGCGCCGGCGAACGCGCTGTGGACTGCAGCCCGCCCGGGGCCCGCCAGCAGTCGTCCCCACGCTCGTGCCTCCACTCAGGCCCACGGACACAGCTACAGTCACCGCCGCCTGCATACCAGTCGTCGACGTTCGTGTCCCTCCCCGTGTCATGCTTGTATCTGCTCTGCCTGCGAGCATTGTTGACTCGTGCTGACCATTCTTTTCTTCGTTTACATGACCTGCCGCGTTGACACAGACTTGTCGGAGGACTTTTACAAGTTACTTGGCGTTGATCGTGGAGCAAGCAAGGCAGACATCAAGAAAGCCTACTTCAAGCTGGCGAAAAAGTATCATCCCGATGCCAATCCCGGGGACGATGCCGCTGCCAAACGGTTTGCCGAGATCAGCAATGCCTACGAAGTTCTCTCCGATGAAGAGAAGCGCATGCGCTACGATCAAATGGGCCACGACAGGTCTGTCATCGCTCAATCTGGCTGAGGCAAACTTGCGCGGGCTCCTCACTTGTGTGGCCGCGTGGGCCTTGACCGTTTTGAACCGCTTCCCATCTTTCCCGTCTCAGCCTGCTCATCCCTTGGTATATGCCATGCTTCCCCCCTTCTCGTCCCCTTTTTGTTTCAGCTATAACAACTTCTCATCTGGCTATGGTGGAGGTGGCGGTGGCTTTGGCGGTGCGGGTGGCTTTCGCGATGCGCACGACGTTTTTGATGAGCTGTTCCGAAGCTTTGGCGGCATGAATCAACAGCGTCAGGTAAGCCGGACCGGCCAAAGAGCAGTGTTTGGGGTCAGGTCTCTCACCCTCGGGCGCGCACACGTGCGTGTGTGGTGTTGTTGTTTTGCAGCGAGTGGCCACGCCCTGGGAACGCCGTCAGGCTGAGCGCGAGCCCATGATCATGGGCGTTCGCCTTGACTTTTTGGACTCTGTGCGCGGACACACGGTTCAGGTTCCAATCACGACGGAAACGCGCTGCAACGGCTGCAAGTACGTGATCAGAGCACGTTGTGGGGGTGTGGGCAGGCACGAGTTGGGTGCGGCGAAGTTGGCCAGGCATCCTTTGGCGGAAAGACTGCGCAGCTGACTGGTCCATGTCTCTTTTTTTTTTCTTGCATGGTCGCCACAGTGGAACTGGTGCGGAGAACGGTGAAATGCAGACGTGTAGTCGGTGCCACGGTTCGGGTACCATCGATGCTTCATTGGGCTTTATGCAAGTGCGCACAGCGTGCGACAAGTGTGGGGGTACTGGTACTACGGCCCGGCATCAGTGCGGTACTTGCAATGGCTTGGGTGCCTCCAAGACCCAGAGCAACGTGGAGGTCGAGATTCCAGCTGGTGTTGAGGACGGCACCGTGGTCTGGATCGATGACTTTCATGGTCTTCGTGTGCGTGTCCAGCCGTCGCGTGTTTTTGAGCGCCATGGCCTCGACGTCACTTCGCGCGCGACCATCAGCCTGGCTCAAGCCGTCCTCGGCGGTAGCCTCCGCGTGCAAGGTTTGGACGGCTCGGTGACCCTTGACGTGAGTGCCCTTGCGTCGCCGTCCCCTCCCCTTCTTTTGTGGGGTCATTGCAATCTTTGCTGCCGTTTGATAAGCGAGGAAGCCCATTCTTTGTGCCCTTGTATGATCGGCCTCCAGACGAAGCGTGGTTGATTATTGTACAATGAAAATTGGCTTCTCACGGCTTTCTTTTCTTTTCTGAATGCTCAGATCCGGCCCGGCCAACAGCCACAAGACCGCCTCCGCCTGCACGGCAAAGGCATGCCATCTGTGGCCAACCCACGACGTCGTGGTGATCACTACGTGATTGTGGATATCGAGGTGCCCCGCAATCTGTCGACGCGCCAGCGCCAGCTCATGGAGGAGTTTGCAATCCATGAGCGCGATCGTCAGGGGGAAGTCAACATGTCCAGTCCACCCCCATCTGCCACGGAGGCCGAGCCGAGCGAGGATGAGCCAGCGCACGGTAAGTGTCAACCCCACTCTTGGGCGGGCCTGGCTGTGCACCTCCTCATTTCTCTATTGTACGCTCACCGACTTTTCGGTCCTGTTTTTGGGATCACTCGGAACGGATCAACCTCCAGGCGAACCCGGAAAGGACGACGAGAAAGAAGGTGGGTTTTTCTCAAAGCTGAAAAAGACGTTTTGTCATGAGGATGATGCTGATGAGAAACGTCGTCACGCTGGCAAAGAAGGCACCAGCGATGGCCGCAAAGCGGACGACGGTGCCAGGTAGACTGCGCCCAGGCACTTTTGGCACACTTGCGCAGTGCGGACAAATTATGGGTACTGCGACTGATGGATAACTTTTAGGCTTTTTTGGCTTTGGTGCCACACACCCTTGAGGGACTGGGGGAGTTTTGCTGCCGTTGCCTCATTTGATTGATGGCGCGCGAGCCTGTAGTCGTGGAATTTGGGCTGTATGCCCCGATAACAATCGATCCTCACCTCGAATCACAGCAATGACGCATGTATGGTGTTCTCATTCTTCCAGCACGTTCTAGAGCCCGGTCCCTTTTGTTCTCTCTCTCTTTTGTTCTCCTTCTTACTTTGGTGCTTCTCGGTCGTTGTGTTACCAGCTGTCGTTGTTTGTAAGCAAGAGCTAGAGAGAGAGAGGGAGAGAGAGAGACGCTGGGCATGCATTTGTTGGTTCGAGAGCAGGAGGTGAGTCGCATCGAGGGAAACGGCAGCGCGGTGCTGACCTGGCTGATGGGTTGAACAGAAGGGGGTATTGGGTTTTTGTTCATCGGGGTGAGGCCACTGGAAGAGGGTCTTGTGTGTGTGTCTGTTTGTGTGGGCGGGTCAGCAGTGTCGCTGTTTTGGTTGAGTCTTTGACAGTGACTTGTCGACTTGGTGCGGCTGACGCGGCGCGGGCGCGCTTGTCTGAGGCCACGCCCTGAGCATACCAATGAAAGAGCCTCGGGACATGAACTGGATTCGTTGCACTCATCTCTGGCTTGCCTGCGTCTGCAACTCTGTTTGATGTTTTTGGAAATTAGCCGTATATCTTTTTGCCGCGCTTGCCAACCGCCGTCATGTCGCGCATTGATTATTCCAAGTGGGACCACATCGAGGTTGGTTCCGCGCTCCACACCCATGGTGGTCCGCGCACGTCTTGCTTCCGCGGGCCTATTGAACCCTATGCTATGGTTAAAGGCGAAAACATGTGAAGCCGTGTTTGTCTGCCTTCATCTTTGTTTCAATTGGCATTCGGTTGTTCCTCCTTCGTTTCTCATCGATCTTTGAATCGTGGGTGGTCGGGGCAACGTTTAGATTAGCGATGATGAAGATGACACTCATCCCAATGTCGACACGGCCTCGCTCTTCAAGTGGCGTCACGAGGCGCGTGTTCAGCGCCGTGAAGAAGAGGAGGAGAGCAAAAAGAAAAAGGATGCCGAGCATCAAACGTATGTGTGCTTGCTCACTCGCCTGTCCCTGCTGTGCTTCCGTTCCAAACAATCTATATGTCTGGCTCAATGCGCGCGTGTTGCTTGAAAATGGCCTTCAGGCGTCAAATCATGATTCAACAGCTGGAAAAGAAGAAGGCGCAGCTCGAGGCTGATGAGGGCGATGCTGCTCAGGCACAGATCAAGGGCATTACCGAGCGCCTCAGCGAGCTCAAAGCGCAGCAGTCTGAGTTTGAGCAAAAAGAGGCCGAGCTTGAGCGCTACCAGCGTGAGCACCCCCGGTGGGACGTTGACAACATTAGCAAGGATCGCTCCAACCGCACCATCATCAATGCCTACTCCAAGTCGGCGGACGAGGCCCCCAAGGACCCCGAAGCCGAAGTGGATGACATGCAAGCTTTCTTCAAGAACAATCGCTCCAAAGCCATTGCGTATGCCCATCTTAAGGATATGAAGGCCTCGCAAAAGTATCTGGCTGAGAATCCCGAGTTGCTGCAGGATCACCTGGCCAGCTTTCTCGTCATTTACTGTGTCGATTGCCAAGTCGATGAGGTTTGTCGTTCTGTGCACACCCCTTACTGCGCCCTCATGTCCGCTTGCGCAGCCCTGACCTCAAACCTCTGTACCTGGCCCTCTAGGACGATGAGTTGGTGCGCAACGTTGCTCGACAGACCGTCACTATTCAGTATATTCTGGAGCTGGCCAAGAGCCTGAAGCGCGATCCTCGCGAGTGCTTCAATGCTTTCTTTGCTCGCTTTGCCACGGCCAATCCCGAGTACAAGGATGTCTTTGAAGACGAAATTAGCTCTCTCATTGAGCGTGTCAAAGATCGCGCCCAAGCACGTCTTGAAGAAGCCAAGGCCAAGATGGCCGAAGAGGAGCGCGCGGTGTGTTTTGCTTTTCATGCGCTACCCCCCCCGGCGTCACACACACACACACACACACACACACACACACACACACACACACACACACACACACACACACACACACACACACACACACACACACACACACACACACACAACCTTCGCTTTGCGGCAAGGCTCAACAAAGCTCATCCACACCCCTTTCACGCCTGTCGTGTCTAGGCGCGCGTGGGCCCCGGTGGTCTTGATCCGATCGAGGTGCTAGAGTCGTTGCCCGCAGATATCCGCGAGGCCTTTGAAAAGCAGGACACGCCAGCACTACAGGCAGGCTTTGCCAAGCTATCGCCAGAGGACGCGCAGTACCACTTCAAGCGCGTCGTCGACTCGGGCCTGTGGGTGCCGGGCGGCAATACCGAGTCTGAGGACGCCGATGGTGAAAGTACGTAAGTCTGAGCCCCCAAGTGGCCGGCTCCCCCTTCTCCTTCTTGTAGCACGGCCAACACAAAGTGCTTTCTGCTGCTTTCCTGCGCCCCATCGCCCCATCGTCCCATCCTCCTTCGAAGATTGATTCATTGACGCTTGGTCCTTGCCGCTGTCTTGTGTTGGTTGGGTTGTTCAGGCTCTTAGGGGGAGCTCCTAAGGAGACTTTCAAGGCGGTCACCGCGGCACCTACGAGTGCTACCGGCGTGGCTGGAAAGAATGATCAGGAGAAGGCCGACGCGAATGGTTGGGCACAGGACGCAGATGCTGCCTCTGACCAGGCTGATGGCTGGCTCAACTATGTCATGGGCTCTAGCAGCTATTGCACATTGCTCTAAACAACCTCGCAACGTGCAGCTACCTTTTGACTCTGCCTGACTAATTTGCATTTAGGCTTCTTGCTTGCTGACCTGTGGGGTCTCTGGCACTCCTGTTCCTGAGCCTTTTTGCTGTTCCTTGTCTTCTCTTTTATCAATCTGTCTTATTCACCATGTCCTTCGCCCCCCTTGTCCAAATTTTTTTTCTTTTGCTATCGTGAGCACGAAAAATTTATGCTTTTTGCTAAACGGTGTTCAATTTACAAGGCAAGAAACGCGAACGGGTCGAGGCCACAAGAGCCGCGTGAAGATACTGCAAGATGCTAGTTTTGGCTATGATGGTGAGAGTAGGGATGCAACTGGGCGAGCTCGGGCAACGCCCAGTGGTCTCCCGACTTGGGTGCGGACCAAGCCTCTGCAATGGCTACTGTAGATGCTACTCTGGCACAAGGACTTGGCCCTTGTGCCAGCAACAATCTCGCGATACATTGAAGATATGTCTCAAGGCCTTCACTGCAGGAAAGCATGGCATCGCGGATGCACGCCGAACCACAGTTTTGAGACCCAAGGTATGGTTCAGCACCAGCTCAACCGTCGTAAGACCCTGAGCATGGAGTGGCACTGAGAACGGGCTTGAGTTGAGGATTGCAGCGAGTCTACTCGTCACTGTCATCGCTGTCATCGGCATTGTCGTAACCAGTCATGTCGATGTCCGTTTCTGACCCCATCTCAGCGTAGAGCGGCTCCCCGGCAAACCGGACAGAGCGTCGGCGACTCGGGGTGGTGGTCACGGTGCCCCACGACGCGCGCGAGGCGGCATAGTCGGAAGTGGTGGGTCGAGGCACGGGAGGCAAGGCTGGGGCAGGCCAGAGGGAGGGTGATTCATCGTTGGTCTGGCGGCTAAAGGGCACAAAGGCGGTCGAGCGCGTCCTGGGCACCATGCCAGGAGCTCGAGAAGGCGAGGCTAGTGGTGACTTGATGGGGGGCGGGGCCCATACCATAGCAGGCGTGGCTGGTGGCACGGGGGGAGCTGGGGGCAACCCTCCGGGCACAGGGTAGCGCTTGCGCGGCAGCGAGTCAGCATCCAGGGAGGATGCCAGGTCATAGAGCGGTTCGCCATTTTGAGTTGCAGGTTTGAGATATTCGGTGGTCTGCGGGCGATGTGGATAGTCCAGGGGAAGGGCCCCGCCATCGTCAGCAGCAGCCATGGCTTGGTGATACTTCTGCTGGCTGAGGTGGGGCGCAGCGTGTGTCTGACGGTGTTGATGCTGTCTTGGTACTTGTTGGGGCTGGTGGTACTCGGACGTTGAGGGTGGCAGGTGATGAGGTCGTTGGTGTAGGTGTCCGTAAGCGGTTGCTTGTCTTTGGGGCTGGTGATATTCGTGGTAGTCGCGACGATGCTGTGGCGCTGGCCGCTGCAGCGCATGGTGGGGTAGTGCCAATGGCGCGCGAGGCTGCGGTCTTGCAACGCCGTTGCTCGCGTGGGTTGTACTGGGGACTACGGAGGCAGGATGGGTGATTGGCAGTGGTAACATGGGGCGCATGGCCTGTGACAGGGCAGTGGGCTGGGAAGGTGCGGCGGCCGATTGGGCTTGCACTTGCTGACTGATCTGAGGACCCCGCAGAGAGTCAGAGCCAGGTTTGATCATGGCCAACAGGCGTTGGTGGCGTTTGGCTTGATAAGTGTCGTTGGGCGCCAGGATGTCGTCAAAGCAGAAGTTTGAGTTTTTGCGCTTGGCGGCAGCCTCACGCTTGCGGCGTTTTTGCACCCGGTCAATCCAGACAAGGACAAGGGCCACAAAGACGAGAACGCTGGCGGCCACAATCAGGATCAGGTTGGTCTGGGAAAGACCGTCTCCTTCGCTCTGCATAGTTTCGGGACTCTTGGTATTGGGGCCAATCTCTAGGGGCTCATCATCATCAGAGGGTCCAAGAACAACAGGGCTATTGTCTAGATGGGTGCAATATCGCTGGCTGTTATACGTGACACAGAGGCCGCGCACGGCGGCCACCTCGATGGCGGTCGCTTGTGCGGAGGTTTCCACCCCCAGTCGCACAATCGTGTCATTGGATGCGGCCAGGACCGAGACATTGTGAACGGCGCTGGCCTCCACGGTGTTGGCCGTGACAGTCAGGTAGAACAGGGTGCCAAAGCGCAGGCTCTCAAAGCCGTCAGCTGGTCCCAAGACAGTGGAGAAATTGAGGTTTCTAAACGTTACCTCGGCGTAGTAGAGCCGAGGAGGGGCGGTGGTTTGCGCATCGACGAGCACTGGACCACAGCTGAGTGCAACCAGCAGAGCCGACAAGAGCACAGGGGCGGCCTGGGCAGGCCATGGGCGAATCAAGCCAAGCATCGCTGCCATCGTGGCCGCTCAAGGGCGGAAACCTGGAAAGTGCTGGCGCTGATGAGGCAGTTTTGACTGCCGATCGACTCGCACAGATCCTTCTCAATGGAAAAGCGTCCACACACACACACACATATGCAACAGATGAAACTAGCACAGAGTTGTGTGTCGGTCAACACATTGCCACCGCCGCTTGTGGGCCGGGCCTGATGCTGCGCAAATGCCGGCAGACGGGGCCTGGTCCATCTCGATTGTGCACACTGTTTTTTATGCTTGGCTCAAGCCCGAGTGCAGTCGCGCAAGGCCACGTCCTGTCATGGCCCGTTGCATTGCAACCGCGGACATTGCTGTGCGAGTGGGACAGACGCTGCATGCCTTTAAGGGAGACGTCACACGGCTAAAAAGGTATCGGGCACTTGAACCAAACTAGCGTGTGGGGGGTGGGGATGGGCAGTAAAAAGCAGTACAGAAGCCTTGTCAGGACCACCGTGAGGTGCGTGTCCAACAAAACATGCCAGGCATCGCAGTGCAACCCCACAGCCGTCGGCATGAAGGCGCACGTCCGCGCCATATGCATACATGCATGCACCACATCCTCCCGTTCTGCTGACAATTAAAATCTGACATTAACCCCGGATGATCTGCAAAGCGTGACTTTATTCACATTTCCGCTTAACGCTGGATCTCTCTCGCTCTCTTGTTTTTAATTTTTTTTTTCTGTGTGTGTGTGTGTATGTGTGTGTGTGTTCAACGACACGATGCGGACAACGGCAGCCGGGGTGGCCTTGCTGGCAGCCCTGTTGCTGGTCGGATTGGCGGTATGTTGGTCGAGGACATCTGGATATGCAAAAAGGAATCAGTCCACTTGGTGTAAAGAGAGAAAGAGAGAGAGAACTGCTGTGGGCGAGGTGCAGGCCATGTGCCATGCTGGCAGCTCGCCACTTGCAAAAACATGTCGTGTTCTGTTGGCCGGGGCCGGCCCTATCTATCTTCTTTCGATGTTGCATTGCCGGCTGACCCATGGTATGTGTTCTTGTGGTCTTGGCAACTGGGCGGGTAGATGACCGGCGCCGATGAGGCAGCAGCCGTGCCTGAGGTGCCACAGGAGGCCGAGGGCCTCAAGCATGCTGAAGGCGTGGAGGCCGACCACCCCGCCGCGGCGCAAGAGCCAATGGACCACGGCGCGGCACATCGCCCCAATCACCATGAAGAAGCTCAGGTTGGTCAATTTGCTTGGCCATTCCGCACGGGGAGGAAGGGCATTGCGGCGCGCCGCCCCGCCTCACATTGTGGACCTACGGCGGCCCCACCTTCATCCGCAGCGACTGTACGAAGCGCGAGAACGTGCGCGCATGGCGCGCATGTCCCCAGAGGAGCGCGAGCGCTACGAAGAATTCAAGTGCGTGCCTTGGCCAACGCGCAACGTGTTGCACACACTATCCTTGTGGCGGGTCTCCAGGCACACCAACGCCTTGGAATCATTTCGATCTTTCTTGACTCATGTCTGTGTCCTCACGCGGCCATCATGGGCCATGGTGGTCATCATGGCAATCTTGGTCTCTGCACATCTTGCGCCTGGTCTAGACGCAAGCGCGATGCCTATGAAAAGGAACACAAGGGCCACGAAGCCATGCATTTCGAAATGTTCCTGGTCCTCGTCGGCACGTTGGTGCTTGCACAGGTACGCGCATGTATCGAGCCGGGCCCGTTCAGTGTGCTTCGCTCGCCCCGCTGGCTCACACCATGACCACATTTGTGACTCGGTCATTGCAAAATGTAGATTCTACTGACCATGTGGAAAAAACGTCACTTTGCCAGCTACCAGGCCGTGACCCTGCTGGGCCTGTGGATCTTCCCCATTTATTTTGCAATCCTACACGAGGTCTAACCTTGATTTGGACCGCGGCGACGGTGGCTTGGTTTTGTCGCGTCATTGCTCCTCGTGGCAAGTCCAGATTCACGCCTGACCATGCGCGCTTGTCCGGCCGTTCTGCTCTGCTAGGTGTGGCGCTTGATCCTAACCTGGGCGCTGTATACGCTCATCACGGGCTACGTTTCCTTCCTCGCCAGCCAGCGGCAACTCAGTGTGAAGACCCCTCGGTAGGTTGCGCAAGGACCGAGGCAGAGGTGCACGTATTTCCGTCGGCACTCACCCTCCTGTTCCCAATCGTGCCTGCGTGACATTCGTATGCTGTGCTGTTTGCAGTAAGGTCTATTGGTACTTTGTGGTCGTCATCAAGCTGACTGGCTTCATCGGCATCACGGGCTATGTCATTGCGGTCTTTGACTTTTTCATCGGCCCGTACCTGCCCCAGCCTGCTAACATGACGTACGTTCTCAAGGAGTTGACGGCGCTCCAACCTCCGCATGCCGTTCTACCCACATCTGTTCGCTCATTCACCTGCAACTGTATGGCAGGCTCATGTCCCTGGGGCTCAATCTGCTGTTTTACGGCCTGTATTACGGCGTCATGACGCGCGACTTTGCCGACATTACCTCACGCTGGATGGCGACTTCAATCGGCTACTATTCGCCCTCCGGCATGACAACTCGTCAGCTCAAGCCCGACGTCTGTGCTGTCTGTGGCGATAGTCTGAGGTAATGGTGACTACACCTTTGTTTGTTGCAGATTGCGTCACCCTCTGCTGGCGGAGTCACTCATCTTGGGCTGCGACCTGTACGCAGGGAGCTCGAGGATGTGGGCGAGAAGCGGGCAACGCTCCCATGTGGTCACGTCATGCATGACTTTTGTATCCGTGGCTGGTGCATCATTGGCAAGAAGCAGACTTGTCCCTACTGCAAGGAAAAGGTTCGGACTGTGCTTTGCCACGATGGCTCAACTTGTGCCGGCCCACCGTTTTACTCGCTTCTCACGCGGCTTGGCCATGGCTCGTTGGATTTGATCCTGGGCCACCGATGCCCACCGACTCAGGTTGACCTGCGCGAGCAATTTCCCTCTCCTTGGTCGCGAACGGATGTGATGTACGGCCAGCTTCTAGACATTTGCCGCTACTTTGTCGTCTGGTACCCTGTCATCATCCAGCTGGTGCAAGGCGAGTTTTATGTCCTTGGTCTGCACTAAAGGCCATGCGTCGGCGCGGAATGGTCAGCGCCTTCCAATTGGATGCGGGATGGGCAAGCTAATCTTGGAGGCCAAAGTCGAGTAAATGAGTTGACCTCTAGATACTTTTTCTTGCCAGTCGAGTACCCTCAGCACATGAGGCACTTTTTGCTCACGTAAAATTCAGGTCAGGTGCTCGTATCATCCAAGCCTGTCCAGCAAAAGGGAGAGCATGCGGTGCTACAAGCCAGCGTCTTAGCATCGACAATTACAATATCCAAAACAGATGTGTGTGACTTCCCAGAGGTAAAAATTAAGAAAGGTCAAGCGCTCGATCTGTGCACTCGGGGATGAGATAGCCAGCTGGTCATGAAGCCACAACGAGAACAAAAAGATGAAGAAAAGAAAGAAAAAAGAAGAAAAAAAAAGAAAAAAAGAAAAGATCAATTCTGAACGACGCAACAAGTCCTGTGGCGGGCCAGGGCATGTGAGAGAGCGAGCACCAACTTTGGGCACACATTCATCTCGCAAAGAAAGCTTCAAAGGCGCATCACTGGTTTGCGACCATATCAAGTCGGTCCTTCCGCCTCAAGCGCCAGACCCTTCCACCACGACACCATCTATTGATAGTAGAGACGGGTTTTAAAACGGTCGAGGACGTGCTTCAGCTCTTCTTCAAGCCCTTGCAAGGCCTCGTTCTTGCCAGACACCACTTGCAAGCTCTGCAACACAGGCGTCAAGGCAGAGAATCAAAACACCGGCAGCGCTTGCTCAAACGGGTTTCAATCAGTCACGACAGAAATTTTCAAACCCACCTTTTGCAGCCGTTCAATGTTGTCGAAAGGCACGGCATGAAGGCTCTGGCGAGGTAGATTGGTGTTGCCTTCGTCCCGTGCCTGCAGAACCTTGTGTGCCTCTTGAATTGACGTCACTGCAACCTGGTGAGCGACGTCCCACATTTGATAACGCAAGAGCAAGGCCAGAAGCGCATTGGGGTTGCATGCCTGTCAAAGTTGGAGGAGAATCAAACGACGCAGCAGACGCCGGGGGCAAGTTGACATGGGAGTGAGTCTCAGGACACGGCAAGGCATGCCAAACAACACGACGCGCCGCATGGCGGGTCGGCAGGCAGCGCGATGGAGATGGTAGTCTTTGGTCTCCTTCTTTCGCAGAAACAGGGCCAAGGCAAGCTCACCAAATGACTCTCCAGCAGCCAATGTGGGAGGGGAAAGCGCGTGCCATTCTTGAGTGGCCGCAGTGACAAGATGGTGCGTGTCACGACCTCGTGATACTATGCGGCCACACCCAGCGCATGAGGCCAAGACAGCATCGAAACTCATGTGTTTTGTGCCGTCTGTGCAAGGTGGTCATGGGCCGAGGACAAGACATACAACAAAAGAGGTGGTGTTGCAGTCGAGTAGCGCAAGATATTTGCGCAAGAGTCGCCAGGCGATAGCCTCAGCCGTGCTACCCGCGGCGATAGGGCTCTCATTCTGATACAACCAAGTCACGTCCACGTCGGTCTCGAGCGAAATCCGCAGACACTGTTCCGTCAGGTCTCGAAACAAGCTTGAAAAGTCAAACTCAACCTATTTCATATTCCACAATAGTGAATTTTGTTGAGAGGTCGAGCAGCCCAGCGGCACAACAACAACAACAAGGCTTGTAGCCGCACTGACCTGGTCCACCTGGCCCCGGGCCCGTGTGAGCACGAGGTTAATCGCATCGTCATAACGGCGTGCAGAGATGAGGACTTCAGCCGCCAAGGTGTAGTTGACGTTGCGTGCTAACCCCATGGGAAAATACATGTGAGGAGTTGAAATTCAACAAGCGCGCCCTCCCGGACGAAAAGAGCAGAAGCACCAAAAGTGGTCCCATGGCAACGCAACAGGGCTGGCACGGTATCTCTCAGTTCACGTACATAGCTGGCGATAACCAGGCAGCTTGGCATCGACAATGTCAGCTACTGCCTGGCACAGGACATAGCTAGGTTCCACGGAAAATTCGGCGCGGTTCAGTTCGTCCCAAAGTCAGTATGCACCAGGGAGAAAGAAAAAAAAGAAAGAAAAAAGGCACGAAGGGAGAAGAAGACGTACCAGCAACGCAATTCATGTGCCGTCACAATCGAGGCGCCAGAAGAAGGCGTGACCACGATGTCCTGGCTCTCGTCCATCGAATCTTCTCCACCTAGGCACAAGTGAAATGCCCGACACGAAAAGTATGTGCAATCCGTCAACAAGCACACAAAACGTGCAGCGGTCTACCTCACACTTCAATCGGTTACATACCATGTCGCACACGCTTTGGGGCCGCATTCTGATGATGACCGTCTGCTAAAGGCGACGAAATGACAGACAACTCATTGAACATTCGGGGCAAAGCAGCACACTGACGAAGGAAAACGAGCGCCGTCTGATGCGGGAGGCTTGTAGGCTGTCAGCTCACCTCGCGAGACAACGTTGGCGGCAAACCAAGCGTGCTCCGTGGGCAGGGTTTGAAGAGCATTCAAAGCCGTCAAGTAGGCGTCGCGTTCAGCCTCAAGCACGATCATGGATTCGTCAGTGTCTGGGTCGAGAGATTCGGCCTAATCAACACGTGCACGAATACGGGGTGCGTGGTGAATGTACGAAGGTGGTGCGAGTCACACACATGTCCCAAGCATCCACGGTCTGGAAGCCAAGACGTACCGCTAGTCGTGACGCATAAATGTACATGGCCTGTGCGGCTGCCGCGTAGTCAGCCCGAAAGATAAAGAATGCATACAAAACCTACAGGGTTGGGTCATTGAGGGTGGCGGTGCAAGTGGAATGGATGAACAAGGTCATTCTTGCGGCAACTGGTCAGAAAAGGCTCCGCAGTGAACTTTTCTGCACCTGGTAAAAATTGACCCTGTCCTCTAAGGCGGCTGCAGTTGCGCTGGCATTGCGTGCCCGCGTGGAGATGACGTTGCGTACAATCTGACATGACATCAAAAAAGTTGGGTCAGTTTGTTTTTGACCAGAAGACCAGGGCAGAGCCTGCATTCGCCTACAACATACATGCTCCAGTTGCCCGTAGGGGAGTTGCACGATCGCCTGCATTTCATTGCGATCGCAGAGTGTCGAGACTAGAAGCACCAGTCATGCAGGCCCGGCATGAGGGTCAGCCAAGCATTTTGAGACAGACCGAGACATGGCGGCGAGGGAGGCCAAACAGCGCAATGCAAAAAAACAAGGACGAGTAGAACAGAGGAAGTTCATGCAAGGGGAGGCGATAAATGTGGTGGGGATGATCAGCAAGGGGGGCATTGGGGTGCAGCTGCTCCTACCTAGCTCCGAGATGCAATCGTCCCGAATCGCTTCGTGGGCACCCAATTGCGCGATGGCTGCAAAGGCACCATCCACATCGTTGAGTGCCAGTTTGTGCTTGAAAGTGTTGATATGCATCGTTGTAAGCTACGAGGCGCGAAAGGGAGCCGGTGAGAGGCCAGGTGAAGCAATGACGCTGGAAAAAAATTCGCTTTGGGATGTTAGTGCGTGCGGCCAAAACAAACAAAAAACAAAAAACAAAAAACAAAAAGCTGCACCTCTTGTTCCAATGCCGCCCGAGCTTCGTTCGAGTCCGCAAGAGCGCTTGCCATCTAGTTAATTGGATCGCCAAACGCCATCAGTATACAGCAAACAAAGTTGATCAAACACCAGCCCAGCTTCTTCTGTGGGTTAGCCTTCCTCGTAGTCGCGGTGCTGTACCTGGTATTCCATGACGGCGGCATCAATGACTTGAACCAGTAGAACCAACCCAACCGTCTATGCAAGAAGCAGCAAGAGCGGGGGTGAGAAAGCCCAGTGATGGTACCACGCTCAAACCAAAGCTCGCTTCGCATCAGCAAGGTAGGTCAACAACCTTGGCATCAGCGAGGCTTGAATTGGCCCCAGACACGGCCGCCTCAAGATGAAACATGAACGCCTTGGCATACAGAGCCGCTAGCGGAGCTCGAGACACCTCCTCTTCCAAGCGATCCGCTGCCAACATGGGTTGGTTGGGACGGCGCAACAAGACGCCCAAGAGTTCCCGGGACATGACTTGGTCTTGATTTGGTGTGGTGCAGAGCGCTTGAATAATATCAAAGGCCAACCCATAGCCTGAAACAGCCCCATCATAATCACCCTGGCGCAGGAGCAGAAGTGCCTGCATGTGTGCCAAGAGAACGCGGGCTTCAGGCGCGAGAGCAGTGATCTGCGCAAGATACAGGTCGGCAGCATGGGCACCGACTGCCAGAACGTTGCCCGAGGTCTCACGAGGCTGTTGAAGGTAGAGGCTGAGCAATTTGCGAGCGGCATCCAGGCTAGGCCGTGCTCGAGCTTGGGCGGTGCAAAGCGCCATCAAGTCAATCACTGCCTGGGTGGCGCTGCGATCAATATCTAGCAGCTCCATGAGCAGAGGCACGTTCTCAATGGCCACTACGGAGCGCAAAGCCGACAACATCCCCGACGTGCTCTGTAGAATGGCGTCTTCCAGCGATTCAGCTTGTCGCAGAGAAAAAACAAAGTTAGGCACCATGGCCAGTGGCCGGCAGCTATTGTGACACGACATCGGATGCATGAGCGTCAAGCGGAGCGCAAGTAAGTGAGTCTGCTCCAGCACACGTCGTGCAGAGGCCCTGAGTGCGACTGTACATCACCAAAGACTCACAAGTTGGCAGATGCACGTGGACCCACGAGCCAGGCCATGGCATAGCGTTCGCGAACACAGGCATCTAGTACTTCGAGCAATGCTGGAATTTGAACAACTTGATCTTGCCTGAGGCCGCCTTGTCGGGGCAGCCGCTGCGCCAGTGTAAGCAAGACCATGAGCTCTCTGAGAACTTTGAGTTCAAGCTCCAGGTCTTGATGACAACTCCTGTTGGCAGGCGGATGAGAAAAGGCGGGAAAAGAAGCACGTTGGTAGTGAGACGCAAGCAATGACGCAGAAAAAGGCGAGGCGATGAAGGCAGACTAAGCAAGAGTCGAGGACAAATGGCATTCACAGGAGGGTCTGCCTGACCTCATGAGAATTGCAGAGAAGTTGGTTGAACTCAGACCATCTTTTCATTGCGACAAAAAACGGAACAGTTGCAAGACAACATCAGTGGCGAGCGCTGGTACAGAGCAGTAGCAGTGTGGATTCATGACAGACCTTGAAACTCGCTAAGGTCAGCAGAGATGGGTTGCAATGTTGCCAGCAGGCATAGTGTGGCCGTCAGCACGTCGCCGACTTGCGCCAGAAGCACCGTGATCTGAGAGGACGAGGCGAAGCCGACAGTAAGATGAAAAGAGCATCTCGCAAACAAACAGACAAACAGCAAACCCTCTCAACAAAAAAAGGTGTGTATGTGTTGGGTTCAAAAAAAAAAAAAAAAAGAAAAAAAAAAAAAAAAAAGTTCGTCCCCAAGTCTTTTGCTACGACTGAGATTCAAGCAATGCGATCGTTGAACACGAACCGCTTGAGCAATGTCCGTATACTCATCACTGCTGCTTTGTGCGTTCTACAAGGTCAAGTCATAGCCACAGCGTGAGCATTTCCGTTCCATCCAGCCGACAAGCGGTCCGAGTCAAGGGAACAAACCGAGCCATGGCCGCGCTGAAGGGCCGAGCCATCAAGGAGGGAGGCCACGATGGTGTCGCAAGCCAGGCGAGGGGCCACGCCGAAAGCATTACTATCGTATTCTTGCAGCTGGTCCAATGTCACCGGAACCGATGCAGTGAGCTGTTCAAGATAGAGACGACTGTTGATCGTAAGCCTGCCAACTTACAAGTGAGCCGAGGTTCCAGAGGCAGTCGACGAGCGCCCCAGTGTCCTGGATGTGCTTGGCGGTCACCTGTGCCGGCGCCAAAATGGTAGACAGGTACCGTGTGCGGGCCGTTGGGTCCGCCGTGTACACCTTATGTAGGGCCGGCGCCGGTACGGTCATGGAGACGTGGTTCTAGGTGGTGATCAAGAACCATGAGATCTAGCAACTAAAGGAGAGCGATGACTCGCTGAATGTTGGGGGTGCCCACGCGTGCATACCGTGGCCAAGGTGTAGATCATGTCATCGTTTGTGTGCCATAGTAGGCCGACAACGCGATGGGCAGCAATGGCATGCTGTCCGTATTGCTCGGCCAGTTGCTGATAGAGTTGAAAGCGGGTTTCAGCAGCCAGTTCACCACCACGGGCAAGTGCCTAGTCACGATGCAGGTCCAGCAAAATGAAATTAAAGCCTGGTTGAAATGTCCGTCTTACAGCCGGCAACGCAGTCAGATTTGCAGGTTATCGAGAATGGTGTTGCGCAAAGGTCAATGGCATACCAGATCGGCTAGCCAGGTTTCCGCCTGACTGATCAAGGTTTCTGGCGTGCTATCGGCCAGAGCGTCCAGGCTATGTTCGCACAAGCACGCATATTGCCATGACGGCAATTGGCGGTGAATGCATCACACAACAACGTGCGCACTTGACTATCGTCGAGCATTGTGAGAACGCAGGGGGAAGACATACTCAGCATCAGGTAAGATTGTGTTCAAAGCATCTTCAAAAGCATCGCGACTAAAGCTGGGACTGGCGAGCAATTGCCGCAGGTACTGTTGCTCATAGCCCTACGTGACAGTGAGAGGCCAGACGGGAATTGAGAGGCGAAGGGAGCTCAGGCAGACACACAAGAGTGGCAGGCTGACAAATCTTCACTTGGAAGAGGGCGCTGCAATTGGTGCACACCTCAGCGCGAATGAGGGCAGGTGTCTCAAAGTCGTGTGTGCAGGGATGCCAGGCAGTGTGCGTGTTGGCAGTGGGTGTGAGCTCAGAGTAGCACACCATGGCCTCGTCCTTGTCGTGGTACACAACCCAGGCACTGCTATCTGTCAGCTGCAGCATACTCAGCGTTGGCTGTATTCGACACACGGACAAAAGAGCAAAATAGGGACAGAACACAAGGTCAGCCAGTTCGAGATTAGAGGGTGTGTGTCGAGAAGGGACTCGGCTTGGCTCGCGCACCTTCAGTCCGTAGCGCACGGTCATCAATTCAAGCTGCTCTTGCTCAGCATCGTCGAGGTTGATGACGTAGACACGCAGCTGAGAGAGCTCTGGGTGGGAGATGAAAACACCCATCAAGAGGACTTCTTGGTTTCCATCCATAACTTGATGCGAAGTGATCTGGCGGGAATGGCCAACAGGTGGCGGCATCACTGATGAGCATGGCAGGCCCACCTTGACACACGACTGCAGGCTGTGGGTTGATAGCGTTGCGTACCTGGCAGGCATCGACGTTAATGCCACGAGCAAGCGCAGGTTCGGACAAGTCGGCAAGTTCGGCCAAGGTGCCTTGATAGCATATTTGCTGAGCAAGCGAGCACGTTTTTATAGGGGCGGCAGCGCACAAGAAGGCATGAGGCAACGCGTGAGGGCAGGGTGATATTGTTTGCATGGGCGTACCGAAGGCGCGCCGTTTTGCTGCAGCACGAGCTTGAGGCCGCCATCATGAGTAAGGAGGGCACCGATGCGGCGGTCAGTCGTGGCCAAGGTCGTCATGGCTGTTACGCGCGCAGGGGCTGAAGCGTTGGGTCTGATCGTGCGCCAAGGTGGGAAGGCGGCGGGGGAAGGGAAGAAGGCGCGTGAGGGGCTGCGCAACCTGGTCAGCGTGAGGGTAATGGGCAACGTACCGAAAGACTGCTGGCACCATTTGTAAAAACTGCTGCATCATGTCTGGGGCATAGAAAATGGTCGACTGAAGCTCCAGCTCTCCTAAGTACAAAGACAGGAAAGCCTGAGGTGAGCCTGGTTACACTGAGTGCCCCACCACGGCCCGTTGCGAGTCCAATGATTGCATAAGTTTTCAGCGTTCGGGGTCCTCGGTGGCTACGGCGCTCAGTCTGAACGAGGGAATTACCGTTGTGCACGTCGGGGTAGGCCAATATGACTTCGGATTCGGCAGTGAGGCAAGCGATGGCGGTAGCGCAAGGAGCAATTTGTACAATCGCGGTGCCCAAGGAGCCCACAATTTGCTCATAATTGTGAAAGAAGCGCATTGCCAGTCCCTGCAAACCCAGAGATGTGAAGGCACACTCCTGCGGGTCTCAACGCTGCAAACGAGAAAGGTACAGGCGGGACGCGCGTACCTGGGCTGGCGCAGGAAACGCGAGGTGTACAAATGTGCCGTCAGCCAGGACGACGAGGGCAATGAGGCGACCATCACGCTCGAAGAAGACGGGGTCTGGAACGATGGGAGACGGAAATTCAAAGACAAGGACGGCATCTTCCTGTGAGAGTTGCAAGCGCGTCTCTCGCAGTTGCAGTTGGCGCCCCTGGCTCAGCCTACAGGCAGTGTGCGCCGAGGCACCAAGATGAGCGTGTCAAAAGAGGAGGCGATGGCAGCAGCATAGAATGAAAATATTTCAAGACGGGAATGCAAACGATCGCTTCAGTGGTTGCTGGTATGTGGGGAACAGAATGCCATTCAGCGCGTTTATTGACCAACCAGGACACGCAGTGAGCAGAGGCACTGAGGCCGTAACCGCCGGCGCGCACGTCCGCCTAAGTAGAGGGGCAAGGGGTGGGGTGACCGCACATGTGGGTGAGCAACCAACAAGAGTGAAACGGGATACAAGGTGCCCTAGACGCAGGCAGGGTATCTGAAGCCGCATGCTTGGGGGCGGTAGTTGCCGGCACCCCTTCCACGTGTTGGCGAGCTGGTCGCGAGACGGCCACAGGTTTTGGGCACTGGAGAGGTGCAGAACGGGTTTGAGAACGGTGAAGTGGCGCAGCACCTACATTGGCATCAAAGCTTGTGTCCTGTTCATCCACATCATAGCCATGGCGTCGGTCATCCAGTCCCACAAGTTGTCCAGCCAGTAAACGAGTGGGTTCCGGGAGTTGACCCCGCCGCCAGGACGAGACGGCCACCGTTTTCAACATTTCTTTTTTTTTTCCTTCAAAATCAAAAAAAAAAAAAAGAGAGAGAGAGAAAGAGTTTGAGAGAGTTTGAGAGAGAGAGAGAGTTTGAGAGAGTTTAGAGAGAGAGAGAGAGAGAGAGAGAGAGTTGAGAGAGT